CCGTGGTCATTTTACTCGAAGTGCAACACTTTCTAGAGACAACCTATCCACAACTAGGACACCATTGTACCTGATTTGTGGCTTCCCTGCTGTCATTTAAGAGACCCTTGCAGATAGCCATCTGCTAGAGACAGGTCAGCTGCTCTTCCCTTCCTCAACAAGCCTTGGTTCACCAAAAACAAACAAACAAACAAAAAAACACCAGTTATTCCACTAACAAAATGGGTTTTTTCAGAAACAACAACAAAAAGGCCTTTTGGTGATACAGTCTGCTGGCAAGACACACATGTGCACCACACAGTCAGTACAGATGGGGCCTTACGTCTTGGCAGTCCCAGATCTCAGGCCGGGGACCCTGGCCTCGGCTGGAGATCTGGTGTGGCTCCAGGGGCCACCTACAGACCTCACACATTGGGTAAAGATTTTTTAATAGCAAGAGTAACACTTTCCGGCATTCCATTCCGGCATGAAGCACAAGGGCATATCCTGGGCCGTAACTCAGTTGTATCTCAGAGTTTCTGGGCTCTTCTCTGTCTTGGCTGTCCCTTGTTGGGCTGGCACTGCCTGGACACTTGGCTGTCCCCTTCCCTGACAGCTGTGCTACAGCAGGTGGTGTCAGCTAGCCTCATCACCCAGCTGTCTACACTGACATTTGTCACGTGAACTCTTCATTTGCTGCCATGTGCACATTTTGCCCTCTATCCACTCGCCACCCAGCAGTTGCTAACCAGTCTGCAAGCAGCCATTCCCCTGATGCAGGCGCGTGGCTTCCCAGGGCAACCGCCATCAGCCTGGTTTCAACACCCCCTGTGTTGAAGGCTTCATATGACCTGCTATTTGGTTTCAGGGAAAGGATGTGAAGTGGTGAGTAGGGAGAATACATAGACAGAGGCTAGAAGCAGGGCCAATATGGAAGCCTCAAAGTAGTGGAACAATAGTGTTGTTTGAGCGAACTGATAGTCCTGAAATCGGAGACTGACACCACAGGGATTCCAAACATTTCCTTTTCCAAATAAGCCCTACTTAATGAACGGTGATTTTACATTAAAAAAAAAAAAAGTATCATCATACAGACTATGATGACAAGTCAACAGACTATGGCCCTTGATGTGGGCTACCAAGAGAAACTGAAATTGTAAGGGCATGTCCAGTAAAATACACTGCTCTTAGGAAATATAGAGGAAAGGTATATAGAGAGAGAAACTGTCTGTTAAAAAAACCCAGAAAACTATTATCACCAATAAGAGCCCAGAGAAGACAACTGTACAGAAATCTATAGCTGTTCAATGAACAATAAAGTCATGCCCAATTAGAACCTACAGTGGCTGACAGGGGAGGCCAATTTCTTACACACTAAATACTTAGGATTATTGAGTAAAGTAAAACACACAAAGACACATTTAAAAAACTAGAGAAATAGGAACATTATGACACAGTCATGAAATGGGTATCTTCCTCAATGGAAACAAAGTGGTTGTAGAAAATAATCCTAATAAATATGAGAAGACAATATTTAATACAGGAAGCATCACAAAACAGTGGTCAAAGATTATTCATTGAAGAATAAAAAGAACTGACTAACTGGGGTACAGTGTTACATTTAGATTTCACATCAGGCAAAGAACAAATGCCTTGAAAAATTGCAAAAAGTAATGGAGAAAATGTGGGATATTCATTGGCATCGGGAAGGACCTGTTAAGCATAAATCAGAGAGAGAACTTAAAAGAAATAGGATTATTACAAAATAAAGAAATAAGATTATTTCCTTAAAGAAAAAGAAAAAGGAACTCATATTTAACTGCATAAAAATATAAAATTTATGTCAAAAAGTTTATATGTATAGATCTATAAACCCTACTTGGGATTATATATGAATTTATAAATATTATTTATGTATAAGAGTGTAAGTTTCTCCCAGCACTGAAAGAATATTTTAACTTTTAGAATACTAACTAACCCTACAAGATTAGAGCATGAAAACTGTATTTTTCCCATTTAATAAAAAAATTCAACAAAAGTAACTGTGGTAAAAGCTTCAGGCAAAGCAGGAATAGAGGGGAATTTCCTTTACCTGACAAGGTATATCTGTTATCAACCTTTTCAGCAGATATGGTACATTATTTGAGACTTTGGAATCATTCCCATCTATATCAGGCTTGAAAGAATAAACTCATTGGTCAATATCATATTGGAGATTCTAGATAAGTCAAAGAAATAAGAGGTCTAAGAATTTTTCAAAAAGGAGATAAAACAGTCCTTATTTGCAAACAATATGATTATCTCCATAGAAAATTTGAAAGATTCTAAAAACAAATGTTTAGACTGATAAGGCCTGGCAGTGTGCTAGATATAAAACCAGCACACAAAACTTTTAGCATTCCAAGACTCAGTAATAACTGATTAAAAAATGTTTTTGAGTAAAGTTTTCAGTTATCATAGCAACAAAAACTATAAAATACCTAAGAAATTTACACAAGATGTGCAAAACCTTTTATCAAGAAAATTGCAAGTGCGCTCTCTGGCAGCAGCCAGACAAGTGGAGCGAGACAGAGATTAGTGTGGCCCTGCCCAGGGATGACACGCAAATTCTTGATGTCTTCCATATTTTTAAAAAAGAAAATGACAAAACAGCACCAAAGGTTATGAGATGGCCTGAATATATGCAGACACATAGTAGGTCTGTGGAAGAGAAGACGGGATCAGGAAGTTACTTGTCTGCAAATTCACCTAAAAATGGAATTAAAATGAAAATCCCAACAGGATTTTTCCATGGGGCTTGACAAGCTGATCCCAACATTTGTATAGGAGGAAAGAGAGACCATAATAGTCAGGATTCTCCAGAGAAACAGAACCAATGAGATATATAAGCTATATTACACACACAGGTTTTTTTTTTTTTTTTTTATAGAGGCATGCTTTATTTATTTGTTTGCTGGTTTGTTTGTTTGTTTTGTTTATACATGCACTGGGTACAGTCAGAAGCGCGGGAGGGCGAGAGAATTCACCAGAGCCAGAGTGGGGAGCAGAGCAGGCAGAAGGACCGAAGTACACTGCTGAGGGGAGCAGCGGGCGGCAGGAGAGGTCTGCGCGCCATGTGGGACCCTCCTCTGGTGGCCGGGGAGCAGCCGGGGATCGAACCGGCGCCGCAGAGGCAGCGCGCAGCTTCGCAACCCAGCGCTCAACCGCTGCGCCACCGGGGAGGCCCTACACACACAGGTTTATCATGGAAGTTGACTGGCATGATTATGGAGGCAGAGAGGTCCCACAGTCTGCCAACTCTTAACTGGAGACCCAGGACAGCTGGCAGGCCGGTGGTGTAATTCAAGTCCTGAGACCCAGGGCTGCTGATGTCATAAATCCCAGTCCAAGGTGCCAGACAAGACCCAAGTTCTAGCTCAAGCAGGCAGGAGGGAAGGGAACCAAGCCTCCCTTCCTCCAACTTCTGTTCTAGTCAGGCTTTCCATGGATTAGAGGGTGTCCACTCACATTTGGGAGTTCAAGAAATCAAATGTCCATCTCATTCAGAAACACCCTCACAGACACACCCAGAAATAATGTTTAATCTGGGCATCCCATGCAGGACCCAGTCAAGTTGACACATGAAATCTACCATCATAATAGCAAGCCAGGGAGCTTGCCCTGCCAGATAGCAAGACATGCTAAAATGTCAAGTAATGGAGACAGCGTGCTATTTGTGCAGCGTTGCGCAAAGCAGACCCTGACATATAAGAGATGGTGGGACAGATAAGACCTTACAAATCATGCAAAAGTATGAACTAGTCAACAAATGTGTCTGGGAAAATTAGTTACCCTTCTGGAAAGAAAAATAAGTCACTGTCTTACACCTCACAGAGATAAGTTCCAGCAGACTAAATATCTGAATGTCAAAGGAAACCACAAAAACTTTGGGAAAAAAAATAAAGGAGACTCTCCATCATCTTGAATCTTTAGATAATTTCATAGACAAGCACAAGAAAACAAAACTCTGGGCCTCCCTGGTGGTGCAAGGGGTTAAGACGCAACCTATGAAGCAAACCGCAGCCTCTGCAGCACGAGTTCGATCCCCGGCTGGCCAGGGAGCAACCCACATGGCGCAGCAGACCTCTCCTGCCTCGCCCGCTGCTCCCCTCAGCAGTGTATTTCAGTCAATCTGCCTGTTCTGCTCCCCGCTTTGCCTCTGGTGAATCCTCTCACCATCCACACCTCTGGCCTGTACCCTTGTTCTTGTATGCATAAATAAATAAATCTTAAAAAAAAAGAAAACCCTTAATTAAGGAAAAGGAAGCAGATATAACTACAACAAAACTAAAAACTTAAATACAAAAAAAGGACCTTACACAAAATTTAAGACAAGTCATAGACAGGAAGAAGATATTTATAATGTATGTGATTACAAATGGTAGTATCTATGTCAAAAAAAATTTATAATTCAGCAAGAAAAATATTTCCAAATGGGCAAAATGTATCAAAAAGCAAATTCACAAAAGAGGAAACCTGAATGTCAAATAAATGAAAAGTTGTGCTATTTTTCTAGTTACCAGGAAAATGCAAACAAGGATTTGTCACCTCATAGCCAACTGATTGGCAAAATGAGGCAAAAGGGCCTTTCACACGTTGCCAGCATAAATGTAAGTAAATCATGCTGGAATGGAATTTCTCATCCTACCGTTGTACACTGTAGCCTAGAGAAGCTCTCTGTCCTGTGCACAGGGAAACACACCAGATTTTTCTCTGCAGCATCGTTTGTGATGGTGAAAAAAGGCAAAGTTTAAATATTCGTTAACAGAAGAGACAGACTGTATTATATGTACTGCAGTAGACTGTCAAAGCAGTTCCGAAGAGGAACTAGAGCAATACAGACAAACCTCATCAAACAACGCATGGAAAGGCAAGCTGCTGGCGGATACATCCCATGTCACTTTCACAACGTGGTCTTACGGATACACGCACACGTGGTGATGGCATGAAGTATGTGGAAGATCAGTACCGGATGGGGGTGATCACTACAGCGAGAGGAAGGTGGGAAAGTCAGGTTAACACACACTGTCAATGCAGCAGATACGAGTGCGAGCACGTGGCTGTCTATTCTGTCACTTTCTATATGAATATGTTTGAAGCACAAAAATGGGGACATTGTTGCCTTGTTTTATAAAGTCCTTTCACCTGGGAAAACTTTATGGTAGGAATCTTATCTCCCTTAGAACATTTTCCAATACCTTTGCTCCAAACAACAGCTATTCCTTATCCTATGAGATGATATGGAACTGGTATTTCCTCACTTAGATATAGTAAAAATTAAAACATCTTTAGAAGCCTTTACTGTTCTTATTTACCGTAACATGAATCATGAGCTTAAACACTGTGTATTTGCTGTTGTTTCAATTATGCACACCTTCCCCTTCTCAGTCCTGGGCTCTAACCAAATTGTGGCTTCCGAGTCTGCCCTGGAGAGACATCCTGGGGCCACCGGTGCGTGCCACTTTCCAAACACCAAGGGACGTTAAGTGATTAGGAGGCTCTGAAGTTGTCCTTCTCCAGCAAGGGCCAGAATTGCTCCTGGAGAACTCCAAGTTTGACGGCGTATGGAACAAAAGCTATTTCTCCTATTCTGTGTACGACGTGAACATAAAATATCTTGGACATAGTTAATGCGTAGCTTCCATCTGGCATTTTTCATATTATGTAAAATTGTTATGTCAGCAACAGATGGCAGAGCTAAGTGTTAGGAGATTTTACTTATGCCCAATTATCAGGTTTGCAAATCTGAACATTAAACAGTTCACAGGTCTGTGGAAATGCATGAGGTGCTAGATTTTCTCCTGTTGAGCTGTCTTTCAAAGTACTCATTTCTTGCCTGTTTCTCCTTGATTTTTGTTTATTTTTGTTCTTATATCCTCATCTGAGGTCCTGAGCCGACTACTCCTCCATGGACCCATGTTTTCAGTAGACCGAAGAAGGACGTACAGTGCTTGTGCCAATGAACCGTCTGTATCCCGCTCTCGCCAGATGTGACCATCTGAAAATCTGTTTGGCCACCTCCCGTCCCTGCGCGCCATGCACGACGGTTTGTAATAAGCATTTTTCACTTCTGAAAGATTTACTTTAATAGATTTATACTGGATCAGGAATGTCCCAGAAGTAACCTAGGCTGTTTTATCAAAATAAAAAAATAAAAAAAAAAATCATCTCTTGTGTACAAATAGAACATTGTCTCCAAGGGATCTTTGGAAACCAGTTCTGTGGATTTATACCTTGGCTGTTTATTCCCTCCCCCCCAAAAAAAAATTGAAGGGGATTATAAATATCCATAAGGTGCAGCAAGAAAAATTATTTGATGAAAGAGGGAGAACCTTAATGAGGGTGGGAGAAACAAGTCCAGAAGTAATAATCCTCCTCCCACCTCCCCTACCCCAGTAGATTCCAAAAGGTCCCGCCCTGCTCTGTCTAACACAAACTTGGCCTTGAGTGCTGGGGCCGTACGAAGACTGAAGCAGTCTGCGATATTATGATTTGTAGAAAAAGCATTTTTTTTTTTCATTCAGATGACCAAAATATATTTCTCATATATATTTGGTCTTCATCCACAGTTCTTGGCTCACAGCGCCCCAAAGTCTTGGAGTTGCCCACATATTATAATAAGGGTTCTCTCGTTAATGATGTAACGTTTGGAAAACACCTGATGGGGACTGGTTGCCAGGGAAACTGACATCAGCTTAGGGTGGGACTTCCAGCCCTTCCCGTTTCCTGCAGGAAAGGAGGTCACAGGGTGGAGCCCTAACCCAGCAGGCCAGGCGGCCTTCTCAGGCGAAGATCTCGCCACCCCACCCCACCCCCAAGAACTGAGGAAAGCCACACAAGGACACCGGGGTCCGTCTACAAGCCAAGAAGGGCACACTCACCAGAGCCCGACTGTGATGGCACCCCGACCTACAACTTCAGTTTCCAGAACTGGGGGGGAACCAGTTTCTATCATTTAAGTCCCAGCCAGAGCTGACTAACGTGGGAGCTGAGCCTCACCTCCTGGCGCCCGCAAAGGATGGACCACACGGATGACACGTTCACCTCATAGTATTCTGGAGATGTAGTTAGGCAGGAAAGGCAAAGGGAAGGCAGACTTCAGGGGAGTACTCTTCTTGAAGGCTGGGATCCTGGGTGAAATCACACCGTCAGGTCAGGAAGCGCAATGCTGTCTCCTGGATCCAAGAAGACACAGGATGAGCACTCTCATCCCTACTGTGGCAGCCAACAGGGTGCTGGCAGCGGCCCTAATAAACCTTAGGAACCGTGTGCCCTTCCCCCCTTTGGCTAATAGCATTTAATAGCCCGGCATTCAGTCTTCTCAGGGGCTTAGACTGGCAAGATCTTGTCAGTGACCCGCGTGGGAGCAGAGCAGCAGCACTTCTGCAACGGTGACCGTGCGGCTTCATGCTCCTGCATCTCCATCTCCCAAGTGGGTGGCCAGGAGAGCCTGCCATACCCACTCTGGGAGGGTCCCTGTCCCTTCTTGTGCTGGCACCGGGCTCTTTAGCTATTTAGGAAGCTATCTGGCCAATTTGTGCATGTGGGACTGTCTTTTGTCAGAGAGATGGAAAATTTGATTTCAGGTGAGTTCCACTGAGATACAATTAGTATTTGATAATGAATGAAAATGAGTCCAGTCAAAATAAGATCATTTAGAAGGCTTCCGGTACATCTTCATGTTATGCCAGTGTACTTTTCATACCTCAAGGCACTTACCCCAAACCCCATTTCCAAGATCTCCCATCCTTCTCCCTTTACTACTTCTGGCTACAGTCAAGTGGCTTTTCTAATATTCCTGACTCCTACTAAATACGGTCCTGGATGTTGGGGTGCATGTCTTCCTACTTAAGAGCATGAACTCTAGATCCAGGCCTGAGGGTTCAATCCCAGCTATGACAATTACCCTGTTACACTCAGAAATGATTTAATATCTTTGCTATTTAGTATTTTTGGTCATTCAGATGACAAAAATATATTTCTCATATATATTTGGTCTTCATCCACAGTTCCTGGCTCACAGCAGCTCATTAAGTTCAGTGTCTGCAAAGGAAGGATGGCATTACCTCATAGGGATGCTGTAAATATTTATGCTGTCTTAGTTAATATTTATAAAATTTTTTGAACATTGCCTAGTAGTTGGTATGTCCTATGTGCTCATTAACTAAGATGCTGCTGGGTCTCGGCATGCTCTTTGCTTCTGCTCACACGCCTATCTTCTACTTTGTCAGCCCCCACCCTACTCTCAGGATTTTTAAAACAGCGTTATTGAGGTGCAATTGACATGCAGTAAGTTTCATGTATTTAAAGCTTTGTATGTATGTACAGCCTCTGCAGTCAAGGGACTGAACCCAGCCATGCAGATAGCATTCGATGTTAGCACAGGCCTCCCGGGCCACCACACTGGGTATCTGTGATGGGAGCGGTCACGGGCATCATAGGGTGTTTACAGTAGCAGCATGCCCACCATCCACTAGATGCCATTGTCACTCTACTTGTCCCCCAGAGTCAGACAACTGAAAGCCTCTCTAAACACTGTCAGATGTCCCCAAAGGGCAAAAGTCACACCTGTCTGAGAATCACCGATTTAGAAGAAAACGATCTTGAGTGAACCCCACCAGGCATTACCTCGGTGTTCCTGCGCTGTGAATGTGGAGACACTGTTTTTCTAGGTGTTTCTTCTAAAGCTTCTCTGTCCGTCTGCATCATAATAAGGAAGTGGAAAGAATGCTTTTAAAGGATCTGCTATTCTCTCACATCCTTCCTTCTTACTCACACCTGCAAGGGTCCCCCTCCTCAACCCCTTCCTATTGATAAATAAGTATTGTCTTATTGAATTGATTTAGGTTTGCAGTTTATTTTCCTACTGTACTAACTTAATAGATGTTTATTTTTCCATAACAATAAAATTGCTTCTTGACAACTGGTTTATACCAGGGGCTGGGCTTCCTTTATTGAAGAATCACTGAACGCTCTTTCAAGAAAAGGACTGTTAGGCAAAAGCCCCCAAGCTTCTGTTTCCTTGAGGACTTTCTGTGGCTTGAGGGAAAGCGGAAACGTGCTCCACGAGCATCCTCTTGGCCTAAGCCCACCAGGGAGCTACAAGCTTAATTAATGTTTGTGAAACATTTTTGAGATGAAAAACACCATTAGTCCCAACCACTGCTATGAAAAGTGCTATTTTCCAAACCTCACCAACACATTAGCATCTGTCTTAACTAGTCCTGAGGGAGACGGAAAAGACTAGGCGCACTAAGCAGTGACAGAGGGGATGACAGAGGTCCTAACGGGCCTCCTGGCGCCAGGGAAGGCCGTGCTGGGATAATGAGAGATTCTGTAGCTTGCGGCTCTATATTGTGCCACTATCCAGCACAGCCTCGAGGAGTAATTATTTATGTGGGTGAAGAGTGGAAATACTTGTATTTGTTTTATGCTCTGGATGTTGCTGGAACAAGAAATCAACACAATTTCAAACTCAGAGTGAGAGGCAGGAGACAGAATTAGCCAGTTGGTGAAGGAGAATCTGCTAATTGAGTTAGACAGTAAGGGTCCCTGTCCAAGATCTAAGGTTAGTAGGCACAGAGGAAGCCTTCAAGGCAGCCCCTCTGGGAATGCTCCTTTTCATGAGCAAGGGGTAGAAAGGCCGGGAGTGGACACCCATTTCAATGACATGGACTGTGACGGGGATAGCAGGTATTTGAGGAGCTTGGAATTCACAAGACCAACTGACAAGCCCAAGCTGAACTGAAGGGTGTCCCTTTCTCGGAGCTGAATGGTTTGGTGAAGCAGAGGTAACCTAGAGTTTGGCCCTCACCCCAGCTTCTGCAGCCTGACAGCCTTGTGTGGGGCACATTGTGTGAAGAAGTGCTGGGTGGGAGGCAGGTGGAACAGGATGGAGCTGTGCCTCTGAGCAGCACATGTTAATATGCCTCAGAAAGAGCCTGAAGCTGCTGGAACACCTAATAGTGAGGACTTCCACAGACTTCTGGCACCTTGATCCTCCCATCCTTTCAAAACTAATGCCATTCACAGAACTGAGTTTGCCCCAAATTGCCTCAACTACCTTCAAACTGTGAAACTGTTCACTAACGGCATTAATGAGGTGAGAGGAGGCTTGATTAAACTTGTGAAACTTTGCATTTGTTTATAAATCTGTTCTGAAGTTCTAAAATTGAACGCTTTTATTCTTTAATGCCTCAGGGGATAAGCTGTAAATATGAGTAATTTTATCAAGGTAAATTCCTGCTTCTGAGGAATTTAATCTTAGTATTAAGCATGAAGTCATATCATAATTTGCCCTTCATTACAATGTTGGTAATACATGGGTATGATTTTTCCAAAAATTGTGAGATCTGAGGTTTTACTCCTGATGATTGGACAGTTGCAAAAATTTCAATGAAGAGATGAGACTGAACAATAGAATATAATTTAGATTTTGCTTGTATCCAGTTAAGAGACAATATGGTTAACCAAAGTTTAAGGCCACCATCATCTCTTGATTGGGTCCTATAAAAATTCATGGTAAAAACTGTTAGAAATAAATGTGAATACCTGCGAAATCCAGTAACATTTATGGGGTTCATCAAATCCACCCAGAAACTTACAGAAGTTCAAGGTCAACACCGTAGTTAAGATATAATCTTGGTAAGTACTGATAGCTTTGTCAATAAAGAGGTGACAAATAAAATGATAACTTACCTAGATATCACATAATCCCTCAGCTACTACTAAGATAAACATTATATCTAAACTCTAAAATAATCAAGGCTAATGAACACCAGCATTGGTTGGGACAGTATCGTACCTGATTATCTGCCAAAAAACACAGTAACACCAACATTAGGAACCACCCATACTTACCAAGCTATCTGAATTTCAGATGGTAGGTAGCTGGCAAAAGGCTACATCATCATTTACATGGAAACAAACAAAAATCCCTTTAATTATCATTATGAAGTTTAACATGATCTCTTAACAGCAACCTGAAAAACACATGGTAACAAATGTGTCTATGGACACAACTTTGTTGTTGTGATCCTGAAAATAACCTGTTCACTGCCACGCTATCATCACTGCAGGACCCGTCATCGACTCTACCTGGAATCTTGCAGTACTCTGAAGACTAGGCCACTGTCAGAGACATCATTATCTCTCGAGTGCTCACCTGCAAAATAACTATGGTTACTGCTGTGACTCAGGTCCATGATAATTATGTAGATAACCTCACCTAACAATCACATGGTTAAACATACACTTTTTTCCTATAATATAAAAGTAGTAGGATAACATTGTTTCTAGAATTGGTAAAATAATTTCACATCTTACCTGAAAACCTACCAAAAGTCGCATGGTTAAACAATTTCAGGCAAACAGACATCACTTACTAAATACATGAGGGTTGGACAGTCTGATGTGGCGAAGATACCTATCGTCCCTTACCTGAGTACCAGAAATGCCTCTGCTAACAGTCTGTTACAGTTACCATGGTCTCTTGACATGAACCTGCAAAACATATTATGATATATGTGTAAAAGGACAACTTGTCCTATACTAGGACACATGCGAATAACCTTCAGTGCCTTTACTATCCTAGGTCAGGACCACTGTCAGATAACACATTTCTTAAGAAGACATCTTCAGATTTTCCATGGACAAAACTACGGTTGGAAACGTGTTAATTACCTTGATAAAATTACTCAACATTCACAGGGAAAAACAAAAATTTTCTTTAAAACATGAAAATTAAATTCACGGTTTCTAAAACTGGTGAGGAATCTATTATTTCTTACCTGAATGCCTGGAAAGAAATCATGCTAATACAAGTCAGGGGCACTGTCATCACTTCCCAGTTACTCGGAGATTGGCTGGCCTGTGCCACAGTTTAGGCCCACATCACCACTCACCTGCACACCAGCAACAACCCCCAGTGTGACCAACGTTAGGTTCACTGTGATCTCTTGACAGGAACATGAAAAAGACAGCATGAAACATATGTTAAAGGATACAACTTGTTCTACCAGGACACCTGCAAATGACATTGGTTGCATCGTCATTATGAAAGACATCAAGTTTATCTGGATACTTACAGTAATCTAAGATCAAGACCAATGTCAGATAACCATGGGACATGGGACATCTGCAAACATCCTATGGGTAGTACTGTGGTAAGGAAAACCATAAAATACCTATGCTTATGCAATCCTTTACTCATAGGGTTAAACATCCATTTTCCTCTGAAATACAAAAAGTAAAAACTCATGGTCTCTAAGGACCCTACCATTTCTTACCTGAATACCTGTCACAGAATCATGGTAACAAGAAGTGTCAGGGACACCACCATCACTTACCTGTATATCTGAAGGTCAGGCAGTCTGTGTCACAGTGTAGGCCCGTAGTCCTACACTGAAGATGTTGCTTCACACCAGCAACATCTCTCATTCATTGCCATAACCAGGCTCACTGTGATCTCCTGGCATGCCCTGAAAAACATTTGTGGAAAATGTGCTTGGTACAGGTCTCATTCTATCTGCATATCTGCAAACTCCCTTGGTACTATATTATTTTGGCACCCATCAATATTATCTGGATACTTGCAGAACTCTGAAGTTAACCCAAATAAGATACACCTTCCTCTCTTGAAGGTAAACCTGCAAATATCCCATGGTTAAAGTCATGCAGTTAGGGCAATATGATAAACTACCTGGGTCCTTGCAATATGTCTACTGCTATGAGAGAGAAACACACATTATCTACACAAGAACATGGCAAAAACTCAGGCTTGTTAGTATTATAAGGACAAATGAGCTTAAACATGCCAAAACAAGGTAAGTATGAATCTTGAAAACAATAGTTACATAGAAATCTGAAAATAATAGTTTAATGAGTTAATATCACATCATCTCATACCTGTGTACTTCCAAAGACTGGAGGGGACACTTGCAAACAAATATGGCAACACAAGTCTTAGAGACAGTGTCATCCCTTATCCACATGTACGAAGACCATATGCTCCGTGCTGTGGCTGCAACCACATCATCACTTACCTTAACACCTGCTACGTATTTCACTGACTACCTTTGACAGAATTGCCATGATGTCTTCAAATGAACCTGAAAAAAAATTGTGGAAATTGAGTTCAATGGAAATTTTATCAGGGCACTTGCAAATTCCCACGACACCTGCAAATGACAAGGTAACACAAGTGTAAGGACACCACGCGCCCTCACCTAGATGGTGAAGATTCAATGGCCTGCACCATGGCTATCACTTACCTTTTTTATCACTTACCTTGTTACTAGTAAGGGGCCCACTGACAACCACTGTCCACTGTGTTCCTTTGACAGGAACCAGAATACCACATGCAACTGAATGAGCTTGAAAACTCAAACTGTTCTCCAGTATACTTGAACCTCATCTTGTTCACTTCACTCTTATGGAACACATCAACTCAACCTAGATACATGCATTAAATCAGGTCAACACCACTGTTAGGAGACTACCCTTTCTTGACTAAACATCTGCTGAAGTCTATGGTCACTACTGGAGTATGAACTTCATGACAATTACCTATATACTGCAATCCTCCAACATGAACAGGGCTATAAATTTTCTCTAAATAAACAATTAAAAATTCATTGCTTCTACTATGGGTAAGAGTTACATCACTTCTCACCTCAGTACCTACAAAAAATTATCGTAATAAGAAATTTTAGGGACACCATCATTACTTATTCAGATATCTGGAGAGCAGATGGCCTATGCTTTGGTGTCAGAAGTCCAAAACTAACCTGTAGTAAGAGACACCACCTTTCATTGAAGAAGTACCTGTATGCCTGCACATCCTTTCATCAGTAGGAAGTTCTCTGAATAAAAATACAGTAAAATCTCATGCTTACTAGTATTGTAAAGGACAAATTAAAATCATGCCAACCAAAAATAAGGTTAATATAAATGTCTTCAATACATCATTAAAACGTCCATATGTAGAAATAGGATTTAGTGATGTGAGTGGACATCCTCTCATACCTTTACACTAGCAAACACCTTCAGAGATGTATGGGAGGAACTTGGCAACACTGTGTTTTTGGGATGCCACCTTCACTTCCCTTGACATTGGAAGATGAATTGGTCTAATTTTGGTGTAAGAGCCACAGTATCACTCACCTTGGTTCCACCAGGGTCCTGCTCATGACCATTGCTAGATTCACTAATATCAACTCTCATGATCAATGCCATGGTGTGCGATAGGAGGACTTTACCTACACATTCATCATTTACTGAAGTTAAACACACATTATGTTTAAATTCTTACACTAACCAGGCAATGCTTACTTGATTTGCTTGAGCCACGATCATTTCTTACCTGAATACACTTAAAAACAGAACACAAATGCTAATGTTACTTACCATTCTTACTAGGAAATCTGAAGGACAGATATTTGAATGTCACATCTTTACTTACCTGTATATCAGCAAAATCCCTGTTAATGATCATAATAAACTGACCACAATCTCTTGAATGGATTCTGAAAAATACATTGTAACAAGTGTGTTTATGGACACAATTTTCCACCTGGACCCTTTATATAACCTTCCTCGCTTACATCATTTCAGGACACACCAATCTACCTGATATTTGCAGTAGTCCAGGGTCTACATTATCATTAGAGACACTATCATCTCACTTCACACCTGCAAATATCCAAAGTTATTACTGTGACTTGGAACCCCATGATAATCAGATGGGTATATCCAAATTGCTGATCACTCATATGGTTCAACATGAATTGTCTCTAAAATGAAAAACTAGGGCCTCCCCGGTGGCGCAGCTTTTGGGCGCTGGGTTGCGAAGCTGCCCGCAGCCTCTGCAGTGCCGGTTCGATCCCCGGCTGCTCCCCGGCCACCGGAGGAGGGTCCCACATGGCGCGCAGACCTCTCCTGCCGCCCGCTGCTCCCCTCAGCAGTGTACTTTGGTCCTTCTGCCTGCTCTGCTCCCCGCTCTGACTCTGGTGAATTCTCTCAGCCTCCCGCGCTTCTGACTGTACCCAGTGCTTGTGTATATAAATAAATAAATAAATCTTAAAAAAAAATTTAAAAAAAAAAAATAAAATAAAATGAAAAACTATAGGATTACAAGATTACTAGAACTGATAGATCACAGTCATTTCTTAACTGAGTATCTGAACAATAATCACAGAGTAAAACAACTCTAGGCAAGTAAGAACTCTTACTTTGCTATACAAATATCAGATGGCCTTTGCAATGGTTTAAATCACATCACCACTTACCTGGATCTAACAAAGTGTTCTCAAATGGCCATTATTAGGTGCATTGTAATCTCTTTGCTGAAAATGAAAAACATATTGTAAAATATGTATTAAAGACAGAGCATTTTCTATTAATATCTGCAAAGTACTGTAGCCACTACAATATTATGTGACTATAAAGTCTGCCTGGATATTTGTATTGATTCAAAGCCAACACTATTTTAAGCTGTGAACAATATTTCTTGATAGGAAACTATAGAAATCCTATTATTACTACATCATGACAATTACCTGCATATGCAGAATCACGCAACAATCACACAGTAAAACATTAATTTAGAACATAAAAAATTCAACAAATGGTTTCTAGAACTGGTGATGATCACTTCTTACCTGAATGTCTGCAACAAAATCATGCTAATAGAAAGTGTCAGGGAGATCATCATCACTTAACTAAATGTATAAAGATCAGGCCTCCCCTGTGGCGCAGCGGTTGAGCGCTGGGCTGTGAAGCTGCCCGCAGCCTCTGCAGAGCCGGTTTGATCCCCAGCCACTGGGCAAGGGTCCCACATGGCGCGCAGACCTCTCCTGCCGCCCACTGCTCCCCTCAGCAGTGTACTTCGTCACTCTGCCTGTTTTGCTCCCCGCTCTGGCTCTGGTGAATCCTCTTACCCTCCCGCTGACTGTACCCAGTGCTTGTATAAATAAATTAATTAATTAATTAATTAATTAAATGTATAAAGATCACATGGCCTTTGCTCTGACTTAAGTCCCAGTCATCACTTACCTCAATTTCTGCTGTCTGCCATGTTCATCCACAAAGGCTCAAGTGATGTCTGGAGATAAACCTGAAAAATATGTGGAAAATAATTAAACCTGTCCTAAATAATAAAACCTGTCCTATTCTACCTGTATAACCACAAAGTCCCCTTGGTCAATCTATTAATTTAAAACTCATGTATGGGGCCTCCCCGGTGGTACAGCAGTTGAGCGCTGGGTTGCAAAGCTGCCCGCAGCCTCTGCAGCGCTGGTTCGATCCCTGGCTGCCGGGCGAGGGTCCCGCATGGCAAGCAGACCTCTCCTGCCGCCCACTGCTCCCCTCAGCAATGTACTTCGTCACTCTGCCTGTTCTGCTGCCCGCTCTGGCTCTGGTGAATCCTCTCACCCTCCCACGCTTTTGACTGTACCCAGTGCTTGTATAAATAAAATAAATAAATAAAACTCATCTATGGTACTTGGGTAATTACAGACTTCTGAGATTAAAACCAAATAAGAGAAACCATCTTTTCTTGGGTATTAGTCAATGACAAAATACCTGAAACTTTACATATCTATTATCACTACAAGAATGAAAATCATATTATCTTTAAATAAGAATACAGATAAATCTCATACTTACTAGTATTACTAGGGCGAAATTTATTTCTAACTCCATATATGCCAAAACAAGGTTAGCATAGTGTCTTGGGAAATTATTACTTATGTAGATGTTTAAAAACAACAAAAGTCTGTAATGAGTTAATGCCACGTATCGCATCTCTTCAGTAACAGAGATTGTAAACTAGATACCTGCAAAAAAACATAACACATGTGTTAGGCAGTCTGTCCTCACCTTTTAAAGACCAGGTAGTCTGCAGGTTGCTAAGGTACACTATCATTTCCTAGATTCTAGCAGTGATGTAATAATGACAATCGTAACATCGCCACAATCTTAACTGGGATCTTAAAGTGCACATGTGACAAGTATGTTTAAAGACACAACTTGACAATGATGAGATCTGCAAATGATCTCGGTCACTTCCATCACTGAGGGAACCACCAAGACCACTTGCATCCTGGCAGTATATCAAGGGCCACAATGTTCTTAGAGACACCATCACCTCTTGACGGGGCACCTATGAAAGTCTCATGGTCAATAAAGAGGAGTGAAACAGCAGGGCACCTGACCTGCTCATATCACCATCACTCCTTAAGTGAAATACACATCATGTTTAAATTCTTATACTGAAACGGGGCGGAGCGGGCCACAAAAGAGGCCACAGGGTCTCTGAGCTCAGAGAGCCACCAAAAAGGCCAAAAACCAAAAGGTAAAGGACAGTGCCCGATAAGAGGCCAGGCCACTGCGGATTCTCACCCGTGCGCACAATTGCAAGAGAACTTAGTCTCCGGGAACAACAACCATGGGCTTGTTTACAAACAGGGGAAATAACAAGCTCGCTGTACCCACAAATGGCGGCTGCCTCACCCAGGTACCAACAACAAACAGCTTTTAGAGGCACCAGGCCCAGGGCCTTTAGCGCTCCTTTCAGGCAAAGGCAGAGACAGGCCCAAGGCCCCGTCCGTGACAGCGTCCTTTGGCTTCTCCTCCCTCCTCGGAGGGTGGCTGCTGATGCTTCTTTTCCTCTTTCTTCAGAGGCTGGAACCATGTTCTTTTCTTCAGGGGTCTGGCATTGTCTCTCCTTCTTCTTTGGGGGCTCTGGTCGTTGCCTTGTTTGGGGGGCTCCGGGTCTCCTTTTTCTGGGGGCTCCCTTACCTCCCTCCAACCCCAGCTTATATCCTCTTTCACCCACAAGTCTGACTGGACCATTTAGCACCAATCTCACAGCTCGCACCTGATTGGTCCTTTACAAATGGCAGTTACTGGGCTCTGAGGACCAACTGCCACAACTGACTTCTGGTGGGCAGCAGGGTCGAAAGGACATCACTGTCCTGCCAGCTGCCCCCACTAAGATGGCTGGGTTCCGGTAGCAATACTACCATGGTTAATGCTTACTAGATTTGAGATAATATTTCTTACTTGAACACATTTAAAAGCAAAATGGTACACAAATGATAGATATGCCATTGTCACTTACTAATAAACCTGAATATCAGACGAAAACTTATGGTTATTATTATGGTGGCAACATCATGACAATCATCCCTCAGTACTTACAGGGTTACAATAAATTTTTCTCTTATGTATAAAAATGAAAATTCAGGGTTACTTAACCTGAATGTCAGAAAAAAATAATCATGCTAGAAGAATTGTTTGGGGTACTATCACTGCTTACCTATATATCTGAAGGTCAGGTGGGCTGTGCTGTGTTCAGACCACACCATCACTTACGTCGGTATCAGCAACGTCCCCATTAGCTACCACTGAAAGCCTTGCCTAAAAAACATAGTCAAGAATGTGTTTGATACACGTGTTATTCTACATGCACATTTGGAGATCCCCTTGGTGAATCATGTCACACTAGCAGAGAACTGCAGAACTACAAGGTAAAGTCCTAGTAGTATCACTAGACTATCTTCTCTGAAGGCAACCTGAACAAATCTCTAGGTCAATTAAGCGCAGTGGTACAAGAGATATTATATTCACAAAATACCTCATATCCACCTATACTGTGGGGGGAAACATACACAAAGAAAATATTATGCTTACTAGTATTGTTATATTAAAAAAATTTCTGAACTCTTTATGTGTTAAAAAAGGTTATTAATAAGAGTCTCACCTAAATAATTACTTACCTAGATGTTAGTAATTAGGTATTTAGGTTACACGATACATGTAACAAATATGGTAACATAAATTTGACAAACATCCACTTCTACCTAGATACTGAAGTAAGATGATCTGCATTCTGATAACAACTTACCATTTACTCACAAGCAAAGGTCCGTTACTGACCACTGCTCTGTTCACAGTGATGACTTGACGGGAATCTGAAAAATACAGGCAACAATTTGTATTTAACAACATAACCTGTCCTACTATGATTCCAGCAAATAACCCCTGTCACCTTCATCACAACCAGGGATCTTGGCAGAATTTCAGGGTTCATTCCACTGTTAGAGACACCATCACCTCTTCACTTTTACCTGTATAACAGGTAGTGAGACCGTAAACTGTAAAAGCCCACATCATGTACCTGGGTAAAAGCAAGGGCTTATTATTGATCGGGATGCAGTTTACTGTGTTTCTTGATGGAAACCTGAAAATACTGATAAATACTGAAATACTGATAAAATCAATAAAATTTCTTATCTCAACTCCTGCAATAAAATAATGGTAAGATGACATTTTAGGGACACTCATCACTCATCTAGACTGGATTAGATGCCTTATAGTAACCCCACATCTTCACTCTGCAGCACACCAACAGTGCTCCCCCTTAAGAACAGGAATCTGAAAAACAGTGTGCAAAAGGTGTTTGGTGTAAGTTTACTCTAATGGACAACTACAGATTCCCTGATCATTTCTATCATTTCAGAGCCCTTCAATAACACCTGGAGGTTTGCAAAACCCTGAGGTCAATTCTGAGTAGGTGAAATCTTGCTCTGTTGAAGACATGTAAAATTTCCTTGGTCAGTAGTAACACAGCGGTAGACCATATGATAAATTCCCCGGATATCTGCACATGCCTCAATTGATCCGAATGTCAAAAGCTCATGATCCATAAGCAATGATACAGTAAATTCTCATGTGTACCAGTATTCCTTAGTTAATATCTTAACTTGCCACATGTCAAAAACTAGGTTACCATAAGCATCATTAATTACGTAGACTTCTGAAAATAAAGACTGTCTTTCTCAGTTAATACCACACCATCTCATACCTCTTTAATAGCAAAACCTTAAGAATTTACCTGCAAATAGATGGTGACACAATGGCTAGGGACATCATCCTACTAACTTTGATAGCTAAATATTAGATAGTCTTAATCATAGCAAATCACTTACCTGGTCGCTAACAAGACAGTCTATGAATAACCATTCCCATTATCAGAGTGAATTTTTGACAGGAACCTGAAAAGTCACATAACATAAATATGCTTAAGGAAACAAGTTTTCTACCAGGGCATCTGGAGGTAGATTTAGATTCTCAAAAAACAAATGCAATATAAATGTTAAAAAACACAAATTTGTTTTATTAGGAGACCTGCACATACTCTTGTTCATTTCCAACACTAGAGTCACAATCAACATTACCTTGATAGTGGCAGAACTTCAGGGTCCATGCTGTTGTGAGCACCTGTAAAAATCTCATGATCAGTGCTGTGGTGTGGAGGAGGAGGAGAATTCAGCTTGCACATCTCTCAGTCACTCCAAGGGTTAAACACAGATTATAGCTAAACTTGGAAATAATAAGGACATATGCTTATTAACTTTAGTGGCAACACTATCATTTCTTATCTAACTGTCAGACAAAATCCTGGTAACACAGCAGGAGGGCGCTGTCTTCACTCACCGAGAGACCTGAGGACAGCACAACCTGGTTGGGCGCCCAAGGGGCACATTACTACTCACCCGAATACAAGCAAAATCCCTGTCAATAATCAGGATGAAGTCACTGTGACCTCTTGACTGGAATCTGGAAGAACGTGACAAATGTGTCTAGGCACACAGCATTCCCACACGGATGCCTGCAAATAACCTTCACGTCCTTCACTGAAGGACCCACCGACTGTACTTAGCTGCTTGCAGTAACCAGACTGCCCAGACTCTACACGGTTGCAGGAGATGCAGCATCTCTTGACAGCACACTTGTTTTGCTTGTCCCACGATTACCTCTATGACATGGAACTTCATGATAATCACCTGGATGCTGAAAATAGCTCTAAGCTCATAGGAATAAACATATATTTAAAAAAAATTATTGCAGCCCCCTAGGAATAAACATATGGCTTTATCTAAAATATTAAAAAAAAAAACAAACAGGGCCTCCCTGGTAGCGCAAGGGGTTAAGACGCAACCTATGAAGCTACCCGCAGCCTCTGCACAAGTTTGATCCCCAGCTAGGGAGCTACACACATGGCACAGCAGACCTCTCCTGACTCACCCGCTGCTCCCCTCAGCAGTATATTTCTGTCAATCTGCCTGTTCTGTTCCCCACTCTGTCTCTGGTGAATCCTCTGGCCTGTACCCCTGTTCTTGTATGCATAAATAAATAAATCTTTAAAAAAATTAAAAAGTATGAAAACATGGTTACAAAATTGATAAACCACCATAATTTCCATAGTGATTCCTTAAAAAAACCTGAAAAAATCACAATGTGAACTATGTTAAAGACACAACTGTTTCTAACAGAACATCTGCAAATATTCATTACTGTGGTTGATGGCATACCTGTAAAATCTTTCCATCATTATTTTCAGGCCTAAGCATACCATCATCTTTTTTCTAGATCCTTGAAAAATCCCACGGTTACTTTGGTGGTTACGCTTACTATCATATTTAGAATAACACAAAATGCCATGTTCACTAATGTGGTAAGGGACACCATCAGCTTCTAAGTGCCTACCTGGGAAATCCCAATTTCAGTACTATAGTTAAAACTACCATCATTTCCTAGCTAGAAATATCTACAAAATACCTTGGTTACTCCCCATGTTTAGACTGATCATCATTTCTTACCTGTAAAATTTCAACATTCTATATTTACTACCTCAGTAATTAACATCCTCATTTCTTATAAGTACTGACATAGTAATTTACATATTTCTATGGGTAAGGGTTCTCCTTAAGTACAAGACTCCATGGGCATTACCGTCCTTAGGGACACCCTCATCTCTTCCCTGGACTCCTTCAACAGGGAGAGCTGTTGTCATCTCTTACCTGAATACCTGGCAAATCCTACGGTCACAGAAACCCCTGAATATTCAAGGCTATTCATGCTGTGACTCTGTCTCATCAGTCTCAGTCCCTGCTTTCCCCTCTCGTCCTTTATAATGTGAACATTCTTAGCAGTTGAACAAGCCAGCCCCTTCCCATAATGAGAGTTGATTATTGGCAACTCTTTGTAATTCAGTATTCAGTGGTCTTGAAATAGCCGTGGGGGACATATTTATAGCACAGGGCTACACATCAGGGTTTTACCTTATCTTCTGTTTTCTCATAAATTTGATTGACTGTTGTGGAGGAAGGAGGATGTCAGTTTGCTCTACATATGCCTTAAAATATATTCTTTTCCAAATGCTTATACTTAATGAAAAAAATGGATAAACACCTTTATTACAAATTACATAGCATAATAATATTGCTAAGCAGGGACAGACCTAACTTCAATGTGTCCACAGTTTATAAACATGCCTGAAAAAATAAAACTACATATTACTAGACATAGAAAAATATGACAGTCATTTACCAGAGGAAATCTTCTCCTCATCATAAATCTCTTGTGCTTTTTATGGCAATCTAAGTATCTATCAGTAACCATAGTTAGAGGTTCTTAGTCACCGATTCCTTTGAAAACCATGGCAAATGTCAAAAGAACAACAGATCTCTCTACACCCTCTGGGTATGGCAGCCAAGCAGGCTGACTCTGGAGGAAAAAGCAAATCTGTACCCTCCAGACTGCTCAGAGCCTAGGAGCAGAATACAATGAATAAAAGCTAGTTTTTCAGGTTTGGAGTGGTTTCAGCTTAAAACTTCTTTATTTCTCCATTCAGTCCCACTCTTTTCTACAACTTTTTCCAATAGCACACCAACAAATTAAATGAACTAGAGTGACTACAAAACTAACAGACCACCAGGAAATTTTACCTTTTGTTAAGAGTTATTTATTTATTTATACAAGCACTGGGTACAGTCAGAAGTATGGGAGAGTGAGAGAATTCACCAGAGCCAGAGGGGAGAGCAGAACAGGCAGACTGACTAAGTACACTGCTGAGGGGAGCAGCGGGCGGCAGAAGAGGTCTGCGCGCCATGTGGGACCCTCCTCCGGTGGCCGGGGAGCAGCCGGGGATCGAACCTGCGCTGCAGAGGCTGCGGGCAGCTTCACAGCCCAACACTCAACCGCTGCGCCACCGGGGAGGCCCCAGGAAATTTTACCTCTTTATTATTTTTTTTTTAAATTTTTTTTTTTTTTTTAAATAGAGGCATGTTTTATTTATTTATTTGTTTGTTTGTTTTGTTTATACATGCACTGGGTACAGTCAGTATTTGTTTGTTTGTTTTGTTTATACATGCACTGGGTACAGTCAGAAGCGCGGGAGGGTGAGAGAATTCACCAGAGCCAGAGCAGGGAGCAGAGCAGGCAGAAGGACCGAAGTACACTGCTGAGGGGAGCAGCGGGCGGCAGGAGAGGTCTGCGCGCCATGTGGGACCCTCCTCTGGTGGCCAGGGAGCAGCCGGGGATCGAACCGGCGCTGCAGAGGTCGCCGGCAGCTTTGCAACCCAGCGCTCAACCACTGAGCCACCGGGGAGGCCCCGAAATTTTACCTCTTTAAAGAAAACGTTCTATCCATGATTATTCTTAGTTTCTAAACTCCCGAGAGTGATACTAAAGTGACTTTGGTACTTAAAGGGACACCAGCTGGATATCAAAGAACTCAACTCAATTCTGACAGCATCAGTCTGGAAATAGGATCAGACGTCACAGATGAAGGTCTCAGTCCTGCAAGACCGGCCCCCAACACAATGCATGGGACATCAGCGCAAGCCTTGCCGGTCACCTACAGACCTGACTGCCTGCTTATCTAAGTCAGAGGTGCCTGTGGCCCCCTCTTTGGGTGCAATTAATTTGCCAGAGAGGCTTACAGAACTAACGACAATCCAGAGACCAGCCATAACAAAGCAGACTTAATTGAAAAAGATAGTCTTATGGATTTAGCTAATTCATTAAAAAGTTGCAATTCTTGTCTTTAGGCCACTGCCTATTCATTCTAAGAAGAGTGTCTTATCAGGCAGTAGTTCTCTTGGGCTAGAACCTATCACGTGCTTTAGATTCAAAGGAAAAGAACTGGAAGCTCTTAAGGATGAATCAAGGTCTGCACATAAGCCAGAAAAAGCATGTTGTAGAGCAACTTTACTTGAGTGTTAACTACAAGGCACAGAGGGCCTCCCCGGTGGCGCAGCGGTTGAGCGCTGGGTTGTGAAGCTGCCCGCAGCCTCTGCAGCGCAGGTTCGATCCCCGGCTGCTCCCCGGCCACCGGAGGAGGGTCCCACATGGCGCGCAGACCTCTCCTGCCGCCCGCTGCTCCCCTCAGCAGTGTGCTTCGGTCCTTCTGCCTGCTCTGCTCCCTGCTCTGGCTCTGGTGAATTCTCTCACCCTCCCATGCTTCTGACTATACCCAGTGCTTGTATAAATAAATAAATAAATCTTAAAAAAAAAAAAAAACAAAAAACAAAAAACTACAAGGCACAGAATTTATGTGAAACTCATCCTGCCACTAAAAAGGCTGTACCTGGGATCTAATACAGTGGAAATGAAGTCTGGCGCAAACCATTATACCAAGTATCACTGAAAGAGCTCTCTTTTGAAAACTGCGTTTGATCTGAGTGATGCCTCAGCAAAATACTGTATTTGTAAAATGCAACTTTAGCTGAAAAGTTGGCTTCTTGAAAGGGTCAGTGGGCTGATGGCAACATTCAATATGCACAGTCCCCACACGCCAATGGCTGGCTTGCACTTGGATTTCGGCATGCCTGCCTCGAGTTGTATGCTGATGGAGCCTCCTGACGGGGCTCTGATATGTGAAGAGTTTGGAAGTCATAAATTCTGTCCTCATAGAAAGAAAAAAAAAAATGAGCAAACTGAAAATCAGTAACTTTCCTTAATCTACAAGAGAATTTGTGTTCGCAGGGCAAACCACCACCCTGAAAATTGCAGAGATATGTAAATGATACCAGGAGGCTCATTCCCAGTCAGGGAACCAAATCAAATACCGAGTAAAAACCAAGGTGGTTCCCAGGGACCCCAAACTGATAAGGGGAAAACCCCATGTTGCCAGTTCTAAGGGTTTGCATCATCCGGGCGTGCAACAGCAAA